CATCACCTCCGCGATCGTCATGATCTGAACCATTTCACAATCATCGTGTTCATCGCATCATCACCTTTCACATCTTTTCGCCACAAGCGACTTCATCGCCAAGACTCATCATCTTGTTCACGTGAATGGTCTTGTTCCCTTGGCTTGTCACAGTCTCTATCATCATCGAAATGGTAGTCATCAGCAGAAGTTGCAGCGGCAAAGCTTCAGCAGCAGAGCCGTTGCCGCCGCCACCTAGAACCAGCAACAGCAATACCCCTGCGCCGTCAGCAATAGCAGGGCAGAGTGCCATCATAAGCAGCAATCGTATCTCAGGTTGCCCTCGGGCAGTCGTAGTGGCTGTTTCTGGTAATCGACACTCGCAGGTAGACTTGGAGACAACACACCCCAACGACTTCGCAGTGCTGGTGGAGGTGGGTGCATAGAGACATAGGCAGCGAGACATGCTCCGGGCCCCTAATGTGGCCGTGTCAAGACTTGCAAGTCTAATTAATTCGTGTCGAACCTGGGTCCTGCTAGGCCACGAAAACATGTCAGTATCGGTTGCACAGCGTTCCTGGCCCACGGCCTCATAAAGCCTGATTTACCAACTTGGGTCTTCTGAGTGTGTGCGGTTTACGATCTATTTCCCCGACCCGAAGCTTCTAGACGCCGAAGCCTGCAAATCCTTCCGCCCATTGCGTGCGGGGTTTACGCTGAACCCTTCAGAGTTCTAGCATGCAAGCTCTTTGCGACACAGTGTGCGGCCAAGGAGCTTCAGCAGCCAAGGTTCTGCAGTAAATAGTTACATGACACTGCCATGACACATGGGCCAGCATGACTACCGCATTCATCAGCCTCTGAGCCGTAAACCCTAAACCCTAAAAGCGGTGTGCAATGAAAGTGTGAAACCCTTAAGAAAACCTAAACCTTAAAGACTCTAAAAACCCTAAACCCTAAAAGCCCTAAAACCCCGAGCACTAAACTCCGAAAAACCCGAAACAACCCTAAACCCTAGCACCAACTCCGAACTCAGCAGTTCGTCCCAGGGGTTGCCTCCGTCGGCGAAGGAAGAGTCGGCGGAAGCCTTAGAAAGTAAGGTGGTTCAGTCTTTACGCAGGGTTTAGGGTTTATAGGAATAGGGGTTCAGGGTTTGAGGGTAGAGGCATGTTGATGAGCATGTGGTCCATCTTTGCTTATCTAGCAGCATCCAAACCAGCAGCACATCAGCATTTCTTGTTGAGCCTTGGGGTGTGCAATATCTCGCATCGACTCGATTCCGTTCGCAAGTATTGGACAAGTCATGCCTTTTGCTGGGCTTTCGCCCGACGCGCAAGATTTCCAACATCATCAGATGAGTCGGTTCGAAGCTTGCCTCTGCAGTAGCAACTGTAGTATGGATGTGGGGTGCTAAGTCGACTGCTCCCGATTTTATACCACCCATGCCCTCAAGTTGATGTTCATGCTCGGGCGGAGGAAGGCTGCGGTGTACATGTCTGATGACAGAAAAGCCACGTGTAGCGCGAAGATGCCAGGAGCAACTTGGAAACGCCTTAGCTGCAGTATCCAGACCTCAGGACATCAGGGAGTTCTTTCAGAAGAACGCCATCAGAGGGCGACCGAATGTCGAGGCCCCTCTCTTTTGCCGGGATGTGCTGGTTCTCGAGGATGTATTTGACCGGGCAGCACAGCCTTCCGGCTTGATTCGCGATCCATGTATGCACTGCTGGGCTCAGAGTTTCTCGACACCTTTCCTTCTCTGGGAGAGACGTCATAGCTTTCGGCCTTCACCACACGGCAGTCTCAGTGCTCCTAAGCTATTTTTTATTCGTGCAGTGCCGTCCCGGTTCCGAGCATAAGCTGCCGCCACAGGTCGTTAAAGTGGTCATTGGCTGGAACCTCACGCAGTTTGAGAAAACGCGATGTGCTCAGGCACATGGAGTTAACATCTCTTGGCGGGCAGATGTCGCACCTGCTGCAAAGGCCGTGAATGTCAATGATGTCAAACAGCCAAGAACACCACAAGTCTAAACCCCTACAGAAAAGCCTAAAGCATTGGCACTGAGGGCGCGGCAACTCAAAGCTCTTCGCGAGGAGAGAAGGACCTTGAGGCTGGTTCTTGTTCGAGGACAGGTGGTGGTTTAGGGTTGAGGGGCTTACAAAGGGTTTCTTAAGATTTCGTGTTTGGGGTTTCAGGTATTTCGTAGATTTTGGCATGTAGAATTTGGTCAGGCTCAGCGTAATCGGGTCTTTCACATTTTTGGGGTCAAGTGGGGTCTTTAGGAAATGATTCTGAATATTTCTAGAACTAGAATTCGGGCAAGACAGACCGTGCATTGCACAGACTATGCAGCCTTGGGGCCATGTGTCGAGGTTCAAGATTCGTGTGTCGAGCACCACATGACCTCAGTGCCAGCAGCACCGGGACAGTCGATGCTGACACCTCCTGGCTTCCTATTGGGACCGCTGCATCGCGAGAACACAGGGACCCGGAGCCTGGAGCCCAAACGCCTGAGCTCTATATGGCCCCTTAGGGCCCATGAGAGCGACAGGCCTCGAACCCAAAAAGTCTTCGGTGAATTTGCCTGAGTGTGCACCCTGCGGACACCCTTGGCGCAGGGCGAAAGGCGAGTCCTGTGACGAGGCCGCCAGTGAGTTTTCTTTGTGTTGCTCTGAGTGGTGCTTTTGCTTCTGGGGTCGGTATCTTAGCAGGTTAAACATCGGGGGCTTGTAAGAATTGATTGGGGTGTTAGAAAGTTGATGAAGAAGCTATGTGCGCCTGTCCCCTCGGGCTCTCGAGTGCGGAGTGCAGTAGCCATAAGATTCAGGCCAGCACAGCTGGCGCGACCCGGACAGAGCGCGTATGTAGGCTGATGGTTCGAAATCATTGTAATCATAACACTCTCGGAGTACCCAACTGAACCCGGAGCCATGATGAAGCAGCCTCCGGAGCAAAAGCAAGCGTGAGACCTCTGGAGTGTGCCGTCCCAATCCAATTCAATGTCTGAGAGTCCGTCGCGCAAGGTGCGAAACTCTCAACACAAAGCCCTCATTGTGTTAGAACGCTCTGTTCCGACGTAGAGGGTCAGGGGACTCACCAAATTTAACATAGGTCACATCGCTCCAGTTAAACAGTTACAGTACTTGAAGGATAATTTTACTAAACGCTGATCCCTGGAGACTCCCAGTATGATCCTCTTCAAGACCAATCTACAAGGTCCCCTATCCATCGCCGCAGCAGTGCACCGGCTGTAGATGTGTGTGCTCCCCTGCTCTCGCGTGGAGCACCCCGCATGCCTGCCGATGAAGGGGGCAACGCGACCAAAAGAGTGACACCGAGAAGCGTGAGCGATCCCAGTGGCGGAAGGCTGCTGCCACCGCTGGTTCCAAAGGTGTTACGCGTGGGATGGAGTGCTGCCCCTTGCCGGAAGCACGCACGTAGGACGAACGACCAGGCACACCTTTACTGAGGATGCAACTCCCACGAGCAGAGCAATGACATCAAGTGGTGATGTGTTTGTCGATCGCACTGCACGTTTGCATCTCTGCTAGCATCATCTCCTGATCCCTTCTGCACCCTTTCGCCGCGTCGTGCTTGCTAACCCAGTCTTGCTGCGCCGTACCAGTATCCGTCCTACCGTGACCCAGCCCTTGTTTGTGGTGCGCTTCATGTGCATGTCGTGCGGTTCCTTGGGTGTGATATCCGAATGTGCCTTTAGGGGGTTCGCCTAACCCATGGTTCCGAATGCCCCTACAGCACCAAGCAGAGCGCTAGACCAGCTTAGGCCTGCTTGAACATGGATCAAGCACGGAAGACAAAATTTGAACCCCACACCCTTTAGCCTAACTCGGATATTCCTTGAGGCCTCCACCAAGAGCCTAATGCCCTGGAGCACCGACCAGGTCACGAAAAGGATCGAGGCAGAAGGGGGGCGGCTAGAAACCTGTCACTGTGCTGTTGACTTCAGGGTTCCTCAGGGGTTAGGTTGTTTTTTGGGGGCCGTAGGTGAATTCTACCATTTGTGGTAGACGCCGGTGCTTGACAAACTCCTTCTCTGGTGCTTTTCATGTGGGTCAGCAAGTCCTACTTCCTTAACCTTTTGGACCTTGGATCACGACGTCAGTTTTCCTCAAGGTCGACTAAGGCCGTAAAGCCGAAGGGCTCACGTCCTAGGCAGGCTTAGGATGCCTTGCGAGATCGTTGGGGCCTTGGGTTATGGGTTCTGGGAGGTTCGCAACACGAAGTCTTGGAGCAAATTCTCCGAGCTTCCACTGTTTGAGTCAATCATGGCCTGGTCAGTCTTACAAGTCAGTGCAGGTTGTTCCAGAACTTTTGTTCTGCCGACATGTAGTGTTCGTTGTGTACATGCATGTAGGTATATGCGTTTCGCTATGCACAAGTATCCAACCCGTTTTCTACCTGCGCTTTCATTCGGCTCGAGAAGACCAGTTTTCTGTGGTCCCAAAGGGACGGCACAGACTTGAAACCCACCTCTGCCAAGCGCTGCACCTCGTCGGATGCATCTGAGTGCCCTAAAAACTCTGGCCCAGTCGGGGTTTTGTGGTTAGACCCGAGTTGCGAGTCGTGCAACCATCTTTCTCGAAAGCAAAGGGGACAGCTTAAATCGGGCAGAGGAATCAGAGTCTAGGGAGATTGCTTATAGGAAACCACTAGCCTCGCAGAAACAAGGGGCATGAGCCCCCAATTGAGGGGCTTGAGTGCTGAGGACCTGGAACCTCCTTGCTTGCAGCACCGTCACTTTGACGCGGCAGCTGGACGGCGATCTGGGGAAGCTTCTCGGTGAAATAGGGTTTAGGGTTCAGGGACCCTAGACTTGAGTCCGGTATCAAAAATGAACCCAAAACTCTACATTACTACTCCCGAAGCCAATGCACTTCTTAAAAAACTAAGCCTCAGAAGTCAGGGTTCGTGCCCAGAGCGCGCATTTCACGGCCGACGAATCTAAATTACTAACCCAAGGGCTCCGTTTCTGTCCATGCCTAGGTGCATCTACAAGGCTATGGCGTGGGGAAATCGCATTCTCCCTCGTGTTATCACGATGGGAGACGTGATAACAATGACCTCCACCATTGAGAAGGAGAGCTGAGGGCTTGGCGTGTCCATTGCTCAGGCTCGCGAGCTTTTTACGGGTTCCGGGGCTGAGGGTGCAGGATTTGATTTATGTTATTGGTTCTAAACGATGATGAAAGGCATTGGCGTGTTCCTCTCCGTTGTTGCTGCACATCTCTTTCGAAAGATGGCTGTGGTGACCACAAGCATGATTCGTTCACACAGATCTCACACAATTCATGTCTTGTGTGTGTTTGCAACCCAAAACCCTAAACCCTCATGACTGCAAAAAAAAGGCGCCCGTGGCATTGCTTTCCAGGAGGAGCGGGTCATGGTGAAAGCCTACGAGCAGGAGCCGGGCGTCGCTGGGGTGGACAGAAAAAGTTTGTCCACCGCCCCCACTCTGTATAACTGTCAAATAGAATATCTATATCATCTATATATATATATATATACACATACATATGCATAGTATGGTTACATATAGCCCTTAATATGACCCCTACTGTGGACTGTCACATGGGGGGGCAGTACCCAAAAGCCAGTTGGCTGGTGTACTCAAATCTCGGGTGACGAACTTGGTGCTGATGTGTTTGTCGATGCCTGGTACTTCATGGACCTTATTTTGGTTAGTTCGTTCACTTGCCGGAGAAGTCGTTTGGATGTAGGGTATACTATTTCCACTTCTCAACAATCCCTGCTACCATTTTATGTGACAACTAGTGCTTTTAGTTCTAGTACATAATAGCATTAGCACTGCCAGTACCGGTAGCACCGGTGCTTTTTTAAACACGTCTTCAAGCATTTCAAGGACTGGTAGAAGCAGCAGTAGCAGTAGTTGGTAGAAGTAGTAGTAACAGTACCGTACCAGTACCAGTACGAGCAGGAGGAGACGTAGCCGTAGTAGGAGGAGGACTTGTACGTGTAGTGTTCAGTAGACGGTGCAGTAGCAGTACCAGCAGTAGCAGTGGTAGGAGCAGAAGTAATGGGAGCAGTGATTGTGACAGTCGTCGTCGTAGTTGTCGTCGTCGTCGTCGTAG